CATCCCTTGTCCTTCAGGAATTCACTCAACAGAAGTACAAAGTTTTGTTTGTTGCTCTTGTTTGACAGAAATAAATCCTTCTTCATGGGGATCTTTGTATCTATTGTGAAAGTTACAGTAGCACCCACTTTCCCAGCGCTTCTTCTTTCTTGAGTCATAGACTTTGTGGACAGAGTATTGTATCCATCAAAAACAATCATAGCTTTGCCGTATCTCTTGAATACGTAGTTGTAGTACATTGTGCAAATTTCTTTAAATGTTTTTCCCATGGGCCATGAGACGCGATGTATGAGCGCTCCTCCATCTAACAAGTACTTTACCGCCTTGGGTGGATCTTCTTTTGCGCTGTCGCTTAACTTTGACCAAATAGCTTCTGCGAGGACTGGTTTTTGAGGCTTTCTCAACATCAGCGACGAATCAAAAAGAGCTGTGGGATAGCTGCAGAGCTCATAGCAAAACAGCGACTCAATTTCTTCAGGTGATGCGGCTAAAATTAGACGTTGGAACAAAAGTTGTGGGTCAATTTGAACTTGCTCACCCCCGATTTTGATCGACAACTTTGCAGCCATAGTAACTGACTGGGCAGCACGCTTGAAAGTGTAGTCTTTTGTCGTTTTTCCATACATAGATGAAAGGATTTTGTCTCCTGTGTCTTTAGCTTTGTCAACATTTACTGATATGTCACCATGAACGCCCGTTATGACATTTCGGAGCGTGGATTCTTGAGAGAATGGACTGTGGTCTTTGAAAACGTTAAGAACTTTTGAAGTGTCCTTCATATCACGCTCGATCCTTGAGTTGCTTATGTCCTTGTTCTGTTCCCCGGAATCAAACAACACTCCTGTCAGCTCCTGCATTGCCCTGTTCATTTCTGCGCAAGCTGGCATCGCGAGCAACCATACCATTCGCTGTTTTTCAGTCATTCCACGACCACGTGTTAAACCACCACTGGTCTTTAGGCTGCGCATGAGCACCTGCTCGATAACGAGATCAGTCGAGAGCCCGGCCCAAAACCTGTCGCTTCGCCGAATCACATGGTAGCCATTCATGAAATCACGGTAAATATCAGGGTATTCTTCTGGGAGTTTGCTCATGCTCTCTAAGTAAAGGAGGCTACTCTTGACGTACAGATTATGGCCAGAGGCTGCCAAGTACAGAAGCATCTCTGACAGGGAATAGAGGTGGAGTGGCCAGTTTGCCGTTCGCTCAGCTTTGACAAATTTTCTCAAAATGTCTACCATATCCATGTACTGGATCCACAATGCGGCTGTGCGACTAGTTTTTCGCATCTGTTCACGGTAGCTATCAACACGCTCTTGTATTTTTGCTAAATCTTGTGAAGAGTTGACCTCATCAACGGTGACTTCTTAGTTTCTGGAACAGCATACGTACTTCTTCAATTAGTGCTTTGGGTCGGGCTGTGGTAAAAAAAACATCAGTAATATTTACAATTCTGCGCAACTCAATTAATACCTGCTACGTACATGAGTCAGTGTTGTTCTGCTGCGGTACTTCTGAAGGGCTAGTACTTGGTGATTGCTCTTCCGCTAATAGAGCAAAATAGTCATCAGTAAAAACAATTATAGCATTGTGAAAGCAAAATGGTCTAAACAAGATATTTTCAACTAATTTTACATTCTAATGTTAACAAGTCCTACAACACATAAATAAATTCACCCATAAAGGGACGTACAGCTTGAAATGTATCCTCTCTCCTCAGGATTCACGTCAACAGAGATGTCCTCAAGGATGGTACTGAGTTGATTATTATTCTCTGAAATCAGTAGTAGGATTGCCATCCGATTAAAACTTCACTGAATATTTACGTGTATTTATGATCGCAAGCTACCTGTTTCATTCATTGGTGGATCCTGGATAGTTAACGTGTTGTTAGTTTCCTGTAAGAGCATGTCGACCTCTGAGACTTCTAAAATGTAATAAGCGTCGATAGATTAAAAAATAACAAAGTAAAAACAACCAACGTTGTGTTAAAACTTCCTACCTGGTTCTTGAAGGATTGGTATTGGCACTCCTAGAGCTGACGCAAACAATAGACAATTTAACACCGCGTCCACAATGAGATGGGCACGTACTGCTCTTGAGATGGCCTTTCCACTAAGTACATGATCGACTGCATTAGGAGCGTAAATAATCTCAATTATTTCCCGCAGACCTGATCCTGCCATTAAATGACCAATTGAACCAGTAAAGCTCATAATGTTATGAAAGGGAGCCAGACGGGGGATGCTTCTTGTTACAATGCTGGTTTGTGGTAGTGATTTTTTGATCAGGAAAGCTTTCCACCACAATGGTTGATCGAGAGTGATGGGAGCCGTGGCGATGTTGTGGGCTTGCGCATGTTCAACTATATACTTCATAGTAGAGTATATGCAAGTGGCATCACTGGCACTCATGTCTATCATGGGCAAAAAAGCAACAGATGACTTGCCTTGGTGATGACCTTTTAGTACGTGCTGCATCATTCCAGGCCATGACGGACGATTGATACCAAACAACAGTGACGTTTTCCATATTATATCAAGCTGTGATGTCGGGTCAACTACTCGTGTAATCTTCACTTTGTTATACTTTATTTCGACCTCTTGAAGTTGTCGTTCGTCAAAATAGTGGATTTCGACTTTACCTGCTTCAGATATGTCTTTGGCGGTCACCTTTCGTCTGGGAACGCTCGCTCTCTGTCTTGTACCTGGGGTAACTGCGGCGATCATACCCATACCATGGAATGTGCCCTTTCCGTCCAGAGTGCATATGTTGTGATCAACGTTATCTGCTGCGTATTCCACATGTTGACCACTAAAGCCTGGTATAATGCTCCCTCTGTCCACCGCTGCGCTTTGGTTGAATTCTTGTACGTGATTGTAGGAAGAGCAAAAACCGAGACAGTTGAGAGTGTCTATCAGAAATCGAGAAGCAAAGTGATAGTGAAGCTGCACTGCAAGTCCAAGTTGCAATGGAGCAAGAAATAGTCTTGGTCGCGCTGCCTGCATGAGAGTCTGTCCAATGGATGCGATCTTGACCGGGTCTTTGACTGCGAAAACTTCCTGTAAAAATGCCTGAAGAGAGCCTGGGAGAAACTTGACCTGGTCTTCAGGTTTTGTTTCGACTTGGGGATAATAGGTATTAGTAGTTATTTCCACTGATTTGATATCATTCTTGATAAGCTGAGCCGCTGTCTTAATGATGTTAAGCTTTTCTGTTTCCACATCGACAGTGCTTTTTTCCATGATGTGAAAATCATGTAGAATAGCTGCTGCCGTTTTTCTAAATGTGACGATATTTGCATTTCCATCTTTGAAAGTAATAACCAATTCGTTTCCAAAGTATTCCTTGAGACAGGTTTTCATATATTGCGGACTATAAGCGAAGAATCTTGTAAGTACTCATTCATTTTATCTACTAAATCTTGGACAGTTATTTGTTCATCAGAGTTATTTTTAAGGTAGTCTGCAACTTTTAAAAATGCCGCATTTTGTTCTTCGTCTTGCGGTCGACCTACGAGTCTTTTTCTCTTAGCTTCGGGTTGGGCTGTGGCATGTATGTAGGCCGTTGGGATTTGCCTATTCGCTTCGGGTTGGGCTGTGGCATGTATGTAGGCCGTTGGGATTTGCCTATTCGTTCGAAAATTAGAGCTGCATATGGTATACTGCTTCTGCGGCAGGAAGATCAAGAACATTAAGTATTCTTGCTTTTACAGTCTCCGACCATTCATCTTTTCTTGTATCACATGTTTGCAGAATGGTATCTTTAGTTTCAAGGGTGAGTACCCTTGAAACATCTGAAGCCTTAGCACCCACTGTAGTGGTACCACAAAAATAACAGTCAGTTTTAAAATCAAAKGACTGTTCAAGACTTCGTCTTTTCGGTGCTCGCTGAATCGACTCGGAAGAATTAACGATGYCAGTTTGTTTGTTGTCTTTGTAAATCTTACTTGGGTGACAATAATCACGACGACAATTCTT